TCATCTTGGGGTGTGGGATAGACTTACCTCTCCACGTGGTGCACCCTGGGCAACGTATACCCATACGGCAAAAAAGTCTATTAACCGGCAGTTGACTTCTGACTTCAAACTACCAAACCCCACTCTATGTCATATTCGACCCCTTTCGCAGTACTCATCTTACCTTTTTCTCTACCTTTGTGTCTGTCCGCCTCTTTTACATCTGTGAATCGCTCTTCTGTTCCCCACCCCTCGACTTTCTGTTACTTTGATGAATCTTCCCTCTGTGAAGCCCGAAGTCAGCTAAATGGCTAATAATATCTATCAAAACGCCTACCATTTAAAATAAATAAATGTTCTTCATCTTCTTCTCCTTGAGGAAGAAGTTGAAGCCCTCACGCCTGTGAATACAGCTGGTGGTTAGCTACAAGATCTATAAGAACAAATTAACAAACACTATTGAAAAAGCTAGACTGAGATTGTTTTTACTATTGTGGTAGAAACAATGACGACAATAAAGGGGTTTATGGCTGGCAATAAGACTGGTTATTGTTTTGGGCAAACCCAATAGATTTCTCAGATTTTTTATGAGGAGGGTGGCGATGTCGGAAGTGGCTTCAGATTGATGCGTAGATATGCGTATTTACACTCCAGGTAGTATTGGCCTTGATGAATGCCTCAAAGGCTTCGGAAAGTGTAAATTTGCTGTAATCAACGCTTCATTTCTTTCACTAGAATATTTTGCAATGGGATGTTTATCCAGACTAATTGGAGGCATGACGTGGGTCACAGATATGCATATGTCGGAGACAGCTGCGGTCACTCAACTTGAGGACATGATGACCCCACTTGCTAATACGCGTTTATCGATCGGAACTGATGAATGGAGGTGATGGCAGCGACAACCATTTCCATATTTTTCAAATTCCTGTCTACTGAATTTAGTTGACCTTATTTTTCACTCACGGGGTGTGACAGACTTACCTCCAAGTGGTGCACTCTGAGCAATCTATACTCATATGGCAAAAAAGTCTATAAACCGTCAATTCACTTCTGACTCCAAACTACCATCACCCCACTGTATGTCATGTTCGACCCCTTTCACAGTACTCATCTTACCTTTTTTCACTCTACATTGTGTCCGTCTGTCTCTTTTACATCTTCGAATCTCTCTTCAATACCCCTCTTCAAAATTTCTCACTTTAATGTTCCTCCCTCTGTGAGGAGCCCGAAGTCAGCTAAAAGGGTAGTGATAATTATCAAAACACCTGCCATTTGATATGAATTAAAAAGGTATTTTGAAATCATTTTGTTTGAACAAAAATTGATTGACTGGGAGGCCAAATTTTTGGAGGTGCATTGTTGGTTAATTACGATCTCTCTAGTGATATGGTCTGCTGATATGACATCATGACACATCATTACATTGATGCAATCAAAACCCAATATATTAGTGCAAAAAATGTAGTGAAAACTGGAAAAAATATCGAATGGAGTGCGAAATCAACCTGATGTCAGCTGCGATAGGCCTATCAAAAATACCGCTGTTTTTAAAGTTTATGAAATTGGCCAATTTTTAAAGTCGTTAAAATCATCAAGGCAATTAAAACAATTTCGCAGCACACGCCTTATATATTTAATTACCTTAATAATAGCCCAGAAGGCGGAATTTCCTACGAAAATCCACGCCAATGCCTGGGAGATAACAGCATCTCCACATAATTGCGCAATTATTACACTTTTTAACAAAATGTATATAATTGTAGGAGTAGGTTTTACAATACTCCTAAAATAAGCATTTCGGCTGCATTCATCTGCATTTAAAGTTGCATGACAATTTCTTCAGTTTCGCTTTATGAAAATCGATTTTCAATACGCCATTATAGAAGTAGTATTAAAGCATAAAAATTGAAAGTTTTTAAATTAATTAGCTCATTCACTTAATAGCAAAATCTGAACAATGAAACAAGCTGATTTAAATTTTGCACTAGCACAGATTTGAAATGCCTAATATATTTTGAGTTGTTGAACTTTAAATCAAACATTGAATAAAGTAGCCGGTCGAATGGAATTTGTGTAATTTCTGAATTGAACCTCTGTGTTCACGAGTAGAACTTAACTATCTGGTAATTGTATTTTCCATAGTGTCTCAAATTGAAGTTATATTTTAGTGACTAATAAAGTGATTTGGAAAATTTTTTTTATAACTTTTTCAATTAATATTAATAGATCTTTTATTATTATTATATCAAATGGCAGGCGTTTTGATTATTATCATTAGCCCTTTAGCCGACTTCAGTCTTCACAGAGGGGACGGAACATCAAAGTGTAAAAAATTCAAGAGGGGGGGGGGGTGGACAGAAGAGTGTATCAAAGACGAAGGTGGATAAGGTGGAAAAAAGGTGGGATGAGTACTGTGAAAGTAGTCGAATATGACATACCGTGGGGTCATGGTAGTTTGTAGTCAACTGCCAGGTAAAAGACTTTTTTGCCGTATGAATATACGTTGCCCAGGGTGTATCACGTGGAGATAAGTCTATCACACACCCCTCATATTAATAGATCTAAATTAGGATAACACATAGTTTCTTCTAAAGTCTTGGCTGTAAAACAAAAAAACTGAAAGATAAAACAATTTAACAAGAGTGTTGAACTGAATCGTACTAAAATGTGTCAAAATCCATTAAATTGTGATTACTGCAAGATTCGATGAGTCTTTTAATTTAATAGCCTTTCATTATTTGAGCTAATTTGTTTAATAAATTTGGGCCTTTTGGAATTGGTACTAATAATTTGGTACAATGATTTTACTCTATAAATATCCAATTAATCTTGCAAAACAATTTTTTGAAAAAAACTTGAATCTAAAAATATTTATGAGACAACTCATACTTGTTCCCATAAAAATTAAAATAAAATTCAATGTTTATATGAAAATCGCATTCTACTTTCACTTATACTTCTACGGCTCCATGTCATATTTAACCACTTACACAGCACTCACCTTACCTTTTTCTCTACATTTGTGTCACTCTCCTTTACATCGATAGAACACTCTTCTGTTCCCCCCCCCCCTCTCGAATTTTTTTCGATTCAATGTTCCTCCCTTCTGTGAAACACGAAGTCAGACAAAGGGATAATGATAACTATCAAAAAGCCCACCATTTGATATTAATAAATTAATTAATAAAATGAATACTTTTTATTTTAATAGAATTGAAGGCAAAAATTGGTATCACATTGCCAAATGTGGATGAAGTTTACTAATTTTCTTAACTTTGTTATATAACAAGGTTTTCTAAGATGTCTAGTGAAATTATCCAGAAATTCACATATTAATAATGAAAAGGAGTATTTTCTACAAAACAACCGAGACAAATACAAACAAATATATATATATATATATTCCTTGTTTCTGAAAAATAAAGTTTTTTTGCTAGCAGAATGCTAAGACGTTTTGACAAAGAAACAATTTTTGGTGGCAAATTTGAAATCATTTACCTACAAATTCAATCTTCCTGACTATTAGGTTAATAATATTACTTTATTTTATTATAAAAATTAGTCATTAGTGTTTTATTTTATGAAAAGAAATATTTATATTCCATACAATTTTTACGGAAATATATGACGCGGAAAAGAGTAACATTTCTTGGACTCAAAGTTGGACTATCACTCCACTGAAACGCTATTTGATCCCTTCGGCAGTCGTTAGTATATTTCAATTCACATTTTTTGCTATAAATTTGCATCAATAATAAATTTATGACAAATGAATTAGCCTTCTCTAATTCAAGAAACATTTTTGTTTATATTAATACGAATAAAAGCGTATATTAGCGGCTTTCGCAAATCCAACAATCACGAAAATTCAATTTGTTCTTTTATAAAGGAAATTTGAGGTCATTTCTAGTCCTCAACCCACTCATGAAATCAATACGACGTAAAAGGCTTTTCTGATTGTTTTAAAAGTAAAAATTTTAAATGAGTAGCAACGTCTTTTCAAGTTAAAACTTCCACAATATTACACTTAATACACGGAAGTCGTAAAATGCCTAAAAATGGCTCTTTGCAATTTGTCTTAATTAAAATAAATGGTTCAACATTTTATTCCGGCTTAACAAAAAATGAGATTTTAACGCCGCTTAATGAGATTTTAAGGCGCTAATCTCTGTTGTCTCTGGAAGCCACATCTCATTAAACTTCCATCTGAAAGTCATTGCAGTTGCTACAATTCCTCACAAGCCGACCAAGTCCTTAAAAGAAAGTTGAAAATTGCCTTTTTACGAGCTATTTTAAGTTTTATGGCAACTTTAATTATAAGAAAACTCAGTGCTCTTTGTTTAAGCCCCGTTATTAAAGATAGTGAATTTAGCGCTCTGATATTTTGGAAATAAAAACACCCTGGAACCTCAAGAAATTGTCATCTTGTCATCTTTTTCCCATTTCAAATGGCAGACATTTTGATAGTAATTACTAGACCTTTAGCTGATTTAGAAGCTACACAGAGAGATAAGGAGGAACATCAAATTGACAAAATGTCGAGAGGGGTTGATAGAATAACGATTAACAGATGTGAAAGAGATAGACAGGAACGAAGGCAGAGAAAATGTGAGGTGAGTACTGTGGAAGCAGTCGAATATGACATACAGTCGGGTCATAGTAGCTTGAAGTCAGAAGTCAACTGCCAAATAAAAAAACATTTTTGCCGTATGAATATACGTTGCCTAGGAGCTAAGTGATCCAACGATTCCGTTTTGATAACTTCTGAACTATCCTACCCTCAAATAGTTTAAATTCTGCCTGTTCTGAAGGCAAACATCTTATACTTTTTTAGGAGTAAATAAAGATTGTGAATGGAAAATCTTAAAACAAAAAGTCGAAATAAAAGAAAATTGAGTTCTATTTACATATTCAAAGCAAAATTTGTTGAATTGTACGGAATCAAAGTTGATTGCTTGACTGGAAGAAATTTAAAAGTATAATTTTTTAAAACATTGATAACTTAGTATATTACATTAAAAAAACAAAAAAAGATACTTAAAATTTATTTTTAAGCAATTATTCATTATTTTTTCATTAATTGGAAGTTAAAATTTTTTAGCTAAAGGCTTTCAGCTTAAAAGTACTTAATTTTCATGAAATTACAATTTTTAAGAGAAAATAACTGAAGCTGTTGAAATGAACTTGTCATCGATAAAGGTGATATACCGATCCCTTTGAACCACCTAATTCTTGTCGTTAATTTCTAATTAAAGTAAAAAAGTCATCAAGAATACGAATTTTAAGACCATTTTTGATCATACATTAATCGATTATTTTACAGATTTCAAATGCCGATTGAACCATAGCCACAAATTTGTGATCAGTTTCCCAATGACGCTTTAAGTAGACGTGACGTTATTTTCTCATATATTGTAAAGCATGCAAATTGAAATCAAATTAAACTTTAGTCTCTACGTTATTTTTTCGATTATTTCCTGTTCAGCAAAAATGTGTTTCGATTTCCTGACCGGATTAACTTCAAAATCTTGTGCTTTTGAACTTAACTAACTACGACAAAATATGGAGGATTGTTAAGGAAACTGCTACCGAAAAAGTTACTCTTTTAACACATTTATGTTTAAACTTCAGTAATATCCCAAAAGGGAATACTTCTTGGATGATGAAGAGGGTGAACTGAAATTATTTCAACTGCTCCAACTTTCTCCACTTTTCATAAAATAGAAGCTCGTCAAAATCTACACATAGACATAGACTTCAGTTATTTTTCTTAATATAAAATATAAATATAATAATGTCTATTCAAATATGTAATTCAATGGGGAAAGGGAAAAGGCACGCGATAGACTTATCTTCACGTGGAACATCTGGACAACGTAGGCTCATAAGG